ATCAATGCAATGACAAACAGTAGTGGTGATAGTGGGTCTCCTTGAAAGATTCGTCTCTTGATATTAACCTCCAGTCTATCACCATTGACCAGCAACTGTGTCTTGCATTGTGCCATTGATTTTTGCACAAAGCTTCTGATGTTACTACTGGCTCCTGTTATTTCTAGGCACTTGATTATCCAATCATGTGGCAGGGAGTCGAATGTCTGATTCTAATCAATCCAAGCTACGTTCAAGTTGGTCTTCCTTCTCTTACAGTTTTCCAAAATCATCTTATCAATTAAGAGCTGATCTTTTGTTCCTCTGCTGTTTGGGCAGTTTCCTTTCTGCTCACGTAGAAAGAGCTTGTTTTCAACTAGATGCTATTGGACTGCAGATCATTATTTTTTTGTGGGTTTTTTTGTTTTCAGTCTTTGTATATTTGCAACGGGTAAACAACTTTTCTTCCAGTAGTCCTGTAGCTGCTGTCCCTGGTTGCTCAGCCAACAGTCCTGAGTTTTGTAGCCCACTTATCACCTGATGTCCTGGAACTCCAACACCTAGTACGGTCCTTGTTGACCCGGGCAATGACCGATCCAATATAGGTTTCTGTAAATTACGTCTCACCATACTGTTTATGGGAGAGACACTCTTTGTCTGGCTCCTCTGATGAGACCTGTCCAGTATGGTTGAACCTCTGGCATAGCTCTCATCCTCCTTGGAAAACTCAAGCCCCACAGCCATGGGGCCAAAATTATTATTAATATCATTATTGTTGGTCACACAGTCAACCAGATGTTTAGACTGGATTTGGCATTTTTATCCACTTACGGAATCCTTCCCAAGGACTTGGGATTGGCAGATGTTTGATGGGGTTAAAGGTATTGTCGCAGGATGTAAGCTGTTCCAAGTAAAGCTGCCTTTTGCAATTGACTGATGGTGATTTTGTCAATGCCGATGGTGTTCAAGTGGTGCTCCAGATGTTTTATTATTTGCCTTTCAGGAACTATAGTCCTTATCTGGAGGGCCAGGTGATTATCTGGCACAGCAGAGGATTGCCAGTCAAGCCAACAGTCAAGAGAACAGGAGGAAAACTCTGCTGGCACACCAAACTTTATGCTGCTAAAACTATGTTTCTAACAGTTTTAGATCCACCCAGTTTCTAAGCCATGTAATACTATCCTGTTCCCCCATCTTTCCTCCTCTTCTTATCATGTTTATTTGTAAAAGCTGCCTTCTGATTTGGGAAGGTTTCAATGATTTCCTTGGCACCCCTACTGGTATCTCAGAAGACCCTGCACCAGTGTGATGGTGATGAGCCCCAGGGAGAAGGTGTGCGATGTCGGTAATTGAGGTCAGCCGCCATCCCCAAACTTTGGATGCAGAATACAGATTGTATCCTACCTCAGGCTTTGAGAAAAGCAGCCAGCAAGTGCTTTTGCATCTCGGCTCTCCCAGCTGTTACTCAGTGTGATTCTCTAATCATGGCGGTGAAGCTGTAGTGGCCTTTCTAAAAATAATGCCATTAGGGCAGAAACTGCTGGCTTCTTGAAATAAAGAGATCCTTGGCTGGCAAATGTTCCCCGCCTCAGTCATGATCTTCCTCTCCTGCTTGGCCCGTAAAATGTGAAAAAGGGAGCTCACGCCCCCCTCTCAACCCTGCCAGAGTGTGACAGTCCAAACAAGAGGACTCTCTGCTCATTAGTGTGGGTGAAGAATGATGGGAGGATTTAGAGCTGAAGGTAACCCATGTCTGGGTTGCGGACCAGATGGGGGGGCCTGGAATGGACTGCACAAATCAGCACACTCAGTTGGCTTGTGCAGTTTATTCTGGCTATGCCTTAGGGGGAAGGGGGAAATGGGCAAAAATGAGGTGGGACTCTAAAGCCTCTGTCTCTGATCTCTGGAAATTTTACCCAGCCAGTTGCTTACTAAGAAATTAAATGAGAAATGCCCAGCAACCAAAGAAACTGTAGAGAATCAGGGAGATTATCTTGAAGGAGATAGGCAAGAACTGTTACATAACCAAAGGGCAGGGCAGGGCAGGGCAGGGCAGGGGGAAATCCCTTAAATGCTGGGAAGCAAGATAACACTTGGAAGTGGATTGGGCAGGGGCTGCCTGATTCACTGGGGTATAAGAGAGAGGGGAGGAAAGGCAAAATCAGGCTTGCAGGAAGCTGTTACTGCAGGTAGTCCTTGCTTAACAACTGCCCTGCTTAGTGACCATTTGAAGTTATGACAGCACTGAAAAAGTAACTTCACAACTGGTCCTCGCACTTACGGCCGTTGCAGCATCCCCACATCACGTGATCAAGATTCAGGCACTTTTTAACCAGTGGGTGTTTATGACTGTCACAGAATCCTGCAGTCATGTGATTGCCATTTGTGTGCTTCACGGCCAGCTTCTGACAAGCAAAGTCAATGGAGAAGCCAGGAGTAAAATCGCAAGTTGTGGTCATGTGATGTCTCACTTAACTACTGTGGTGGAAGTGAGGTCGCAAGTCTATCACAATCACATAATGTCTTGCTTAACGACCACATTGCTTAGCGACGGAGTTGCAGGTCACAATTGTGGTTGTTAAGCGAGGACTACCTATATAGCCTAACTCAATAAAGTATAGCTCTAGTCTTCTTGTGGAGTTGGTTTCCTGATCTGGTTTACCCTGAAGGGCTAACAGAAACACATCCTGTACTTTTCCTGAGGTCCTGCAAAATACAGAGAAGAAAAGGAATCACCAGTTCCATCCGCTTGTCCCCGAGGGCCACTAAGACTAGGTTTGCCCCAAGGATCACTGGGAATACATTAAAATTAGATAGTCTTGTCAATATCACTGGCTTAGAAAACAAAGAAGATTCAAAGCAAAGGATGAAGAGATGGTAGCATCTAACTGAGCTACAGAGTGAAGGGTTTGATTGCATGCCATGTTACCTGTCCAACCAGCAAGGCAGCAGCAGTAGCCTGTCAAAGGATCACACCCATCTGCGTGGTTACAATCACAGTGTTCACTGCAGTTCAGGCCATATGTCCCATCCTTCCATAAAAAGAAAAGCAAGCAATGGTGGGTGGGTGTGGAAAGCCACCAAGACAAACTTATTCCAACCATTGTATGTTTAAATCACATGCAATGTTTCTGTGCGAATCCCAGAAAAACCTGGTGCCTAGTTTCTTTGCTTAACCAGTCTTGAGTTAATGTGGGCAACTCAGTCATACAAGAGGTGGTGATTGTTATCAGTTCAGCTACCTTGGAAAAAACAAATTAAGAACTGATCTATTGCTAACCATCTGCTGTAGTATCTCCCTGAGGTCTACACATTCGTTCAGTGCATTGGTTCTTCTTTCCACCAACAGTGGAGGGATCAGTTCAGTCATGCCAACTTTAAAGATGGGAGGGTTATAAGCTACTTGGTCTCTGATCTGTAGAGTTCTCATCTAGCCTAGATGTTAACCACAACTTTGGGCATTTTTGTACCTTCTTTTAAGTCTCTCTTTCTACTACATTCTTGGGTTACAGTTGGTAGACTGAAAAACCAAGGGAAGACTTACAGGGCAGGGCTGGTCACAGATTTCCCCTTGCCACCCAGGACCACAAAGACAAGATCCATCCACGGGGTCACAGGCAGCTCCATTGGCACAATAACACGTCTGGTTGCAGTTAAGACCCCACATGTTGCTCGGGCATGGAATGGAACAGTCAGTTCCCTGCCACCCTGAAAACCAAATAGCCAAAAAACATGTCAACTATCACCCGTGACTGTGTTTCCTCTCTCTTGCAAAAGATATGCATTTTAGAGGGGGGTAGCAAGATGTATAGATCACAGAGTTATCTTGCCCAGAGCTGAAGTCTTCATCTGAGTTAGCAAAGTCGGGGAAAGAAACAAATCAAGCAGTCCACAATCAAACCCATATCTTGTAAATTCAGGAACCAAAGTTGAAGTCAAGGAGGTGAGATGGAGTTGAAGAAATAATAGGGCAAAACAGCCAGTTTGAGAGCCTGGTCCTAAGAGCAGTCCAAAGTTCCAGCAACAAAGAAGGCAGATTCAGAGCATAATATTACGCTCCCAGCTGAAGCATTATCGGACTATTGTTCTCAGCAACTTACAGTGTTCCACCAGAAGCTTCTGCAGAGCCATTCCTGTCCCAGCTGTCACTCTTTAACAGCTACATGAGAGTATTCCCAAGAACGTTGTTTTTGGCTTGGCCTCTATGGATGGCGCAGTTATGACACTAGCCTTTACATGGAGAGATCAGCATTCGTCAGGAATTTCAGATTCCTTCTTTGGTTCAGATCCAGGCAGGGCTGAGCTAATGCTTTCTCTCTTATTGTTGGCTCAGGCAGGTAGCAGATAGTAAGGCACATGCTGTGAACTCAGCGCCTGGGGAAGAGCCAGGTCTTCGGGGTTCATTTGAAGGACATCAAGGTCACAGCAACTGAAGGGGGGATACTTTTCCAGAGGGCAGAAGGCTGCTGCCTAGGCCCCATCAGATGACATTGTTTTAAGGATGGGACCTGGAGCTTGCCCAGTGTCTGGTCTTACACAGAAGTGATGGGAGAAAGGCATTCCTCAGCAGCCATGCCCTATGTCATTGAAGGCCTTTAGAGGTCACAACCAGCACCTTGAATGGTACCTGGAAGCTTACTGGTAACCAGCACAGCTCTTGTAGCAGAGGTGCTACATGGCTCTACTGAGGCACACCCACAACTGCCTGTGCCATCACATCCTGGACCGGCTGGAGCTTGAAAGCCACCGCTTGGGGTTGTTGCCACTGACCAAATTACAAGTGTGCCAAGTCAGAGAGGAAGGATTAAGCCATGACAAAAAAGAAAACCCCAAACTGCATCAGTCTTAGTCAGCAGACAGGCACAATATGGAGCACAAAACCCAAACAACAGGAGCAATTTTGGAGATCTGGACTCAGGGTCCCAACAGGAACCATTCTGAGTAGAAGCAGGATGGACGTAAATGCACAATAGCCTCTGAAATGGGAAACTACCTTCTTTGCAGGAGCAGGAACCATCTCCAGGGGAACACGTGCCGTCATTTTTGCAGTTGCAGGCCAAGGAGCAATTGACTCCGTAGCTCCCAGGAGGACATGTAACAGAGCAGATTTCTCCCTGAAAAACAAAACAGAGTTTTGGCTGAGTGTGGGAAATGTGGATCTTGGGGAAACCCTGATTTGCCTCTGGGGAAACATTTACAGTGGGAACAGTTGTAGATCCTGCGACTGTTTTACCTAGAGATGTAGAACCTGTGGGCGTTAGATGTTACTGAATTACAACTCCCATCAGTCACAGCCCAGACAGTGTGACCAGCGGTGGGTGATGCAGGGAGTTGTCCTTTAGCGAGAGCTGGGAACCCCAGATTCCCCAAGCCTGCTTTGCAACACTGCTGGGAGGAAAAGCTAATTTGGTGTCTAAAGGATGGTTGATAGTCCATGGCCAAAAAACGAACAAAGTGTGGTTGCAAGACATTTTAGCATTTAAAAGGCTTATTAAACTATTTGCCCAAAGCATTTCTCCAGCATCTGTTCAGATAATAAGACCAGACCCCAATTAAATGTCATTTAAAAAGAAAAAAATAAATAAAAGCCACAACAATGTCTTACCAATTCTTAAATTAAAGAATTAAACTTTACAGGAAAGATAAGACTGCCACTGAATAATTGCTCACCTTCTCCCTGAAATGTTCAATGAAATGAACATAGGACACAGAACACAACAGCAGCATCGTGCTCAGGGACATCCCTAACCTTAGGCAAATGGCCACCTCTGGCAGTAGACATTGGTTTAAAGGATTGCAGTGATGTGTTGAGAAGAACGTCAATGTGTGAGATGTTATTCTTTACACCCGTTGTCCTAAATCGCTGCCATCACCTGCCATGGTGGACACTGTCCTATCCCCAACTCATTCCTAAAATTCTAGTGCAGGCCTGGTTGGCTTTTCTATGTCAAATGGAGATTGAGGAAAGGAAAGACAACTTGGATTTGACTTCCACACCAAACTGGAATTGGCCCTGTTGTTTTTCCTGCCTCTGCTGGTGAATACCCAAGGAACTGTGACAGGATGAAGCCACAGCTGAGCAACAGGGAGATGAGCAAATTTGCCTATGGGACCAACCTCCAAACTGCAGTGATGAATCAGAAGAACCTACTGTAAACTCTCTTCTGGTTGGAATATCAAGCCAAGCAAAAGAGGAGTGAAGAATGTAGGGTGGGCCTACAGATCTTATATATTAGGACTTAAGGCAGAGAACAGCAACCTTCAGCCACTCCAAGCCCCTTCTCTGGGACCTGAGGAGCCCCCCAACTGCTTTGCTGAATTTCAGGGGTGCAATTAACACGGCCAGCAATGTGTCTGTCTATTGTTTTAAGGTGGAGAGCCCAAGGAAGATTTAATAGATTTGTAAAATAAAAGAAAACCCTTCAAAACACAGTCCCCAAGCATCCACCTCAAAAATCCCAAGTTCATGACGTGTTTCCTTTCCTCTTGGGTGAATCATTGTATCCACTGTAATTTCACCCTCCATGTTAACAGTGATCCCCGCCCCAACCATCAAAACTTCCCCATCTGTCCTATAAGGACAGGTGGACCTTTTTTGAGCTGCGGGAACTTGGAATTCTGCCAGCTTATGGTAGGTGCACTCACAAAATGGCTGCCATAGGAGACTTCCCTATTCACAAAATAGGCCAATCTCAAAAGATCTATTTACCAGCATTGAACTACCCCCTGAATTCTCTTGGGGCTCTTTGTGGGGCCAAAAGTATTCATGCAGCTAAGTATTATGGTGGCTGCTAATTTTTAAAAATAAAATAATTTTTTAAAATCAGCTGGGAAGGGAATCAGGTTGGCCCAAGGAAACTGTCTGGGACTTGCTCCAATGCCTGTTACAGAGAATGGTAAATGAGGCTGTGGTTATAAATTTCAAAGCTGAAGGGGGGAAGGGAAGGGAAGGGAAGGGAGGGAGGGAGGGAGGAAGGAAGGAAGGAAGGAAGGAGACGATAAAAGTTTTATCTAAAGTTTAACTAAAATTTAACTATCACCATTGAGAAACCCAAGCTGTTGCACTGTGCACATTTCTCCAAAGGAAGTCACAAAAGTCATCCTATGGCCATGTGGAGGCCAAGCTGAGGCTGCCCTCCAGGGCCTCCGCAGTCAAACAAGTGCCACGTCTTGATTTTGTGG